GTTTGAAGTTAAGAGATAGAAGAAAGGTTTTGAGCTCAATGTACCATGCATGAGATGCTTGACGAAGACCATATATTTCTTTATTTAATTTTCAAACATGGGTTAGTAGTTTTGGGTCAATGAAACCCAGAGGTTGGGCCATGAAGAAAGATTCAGTGAGAGAGCCTTAGAGGAAGGCGTTATTGATGTTAAGTTGGCGTAAAGACCAATTTTAAGAGGTGGCTAGGGACAAGATAAGTTGAAGAGTAGCAAGTTTAACAATGGGGCTAAAGGTTTCTTTATAGTCAATACCAGGTCTTTGATGAAAACTCGTAGCCACTAAATGAGCTGTCAATTTATCCACAGTTCCATCTAGTTTGAATTTGGTGCGGTAGACCCCTTTGCACCCAACTATGTTGGTGGCAGAGTCACATGGTACGAGTGAGAGCTTCATGTTCAAATTGCATGGATTGATGCCATTGAGGATGTTTAAGAGCTTGAGTAATAGTTCGTGGTTCAGGAAATGGTTGAGCTATAGAGTTAAATAAGACAAAATCATTGTTGTGATATTTGGAGTTGGGTTTGGGGTGTGGTTGTGTCTTATGAGATGAAGGTGGACTAATTGGATTTTGGGGTGCGGGAGGGATAATTTGTGGATTTTCTTGAGGAATTGGATCAGCAGGAAGAGGTTCAGGTCGGATGGGGGCTGATTTGGAGTTGGGTGGGAGAAGGATGTGGTCAATTTGCAACCAGGTGTCAGGTTCAAGAGATAGAGGAGGGGAGGTGTTGGTGAGAGATGGGTATGGAACGATGTCTTCATCAAAGTGGACATGACGGGATGTATATATTCTATGTCTGAGAGGGTCTATGATATGATAATCACTTTGATAGGAGGAGTAACCAATGAAAATACAGGGTTTGGATTTCGGTTGGAGTTTGTGGGTGTTATATTGACGAAGCCATAGGGATGCAAGACAACCAAAGCAACTGATTTTAGATTAGTTGGGAATAAAGTTAAAAAGGCGAAGGTGTGGGGAGTCATTTTCTAAGGTTGTAGTGGGAAGCTTATTTATGAGATAAGTAGCAATAGTGACAACAAAGGTCCAGAATTTTATAGGCATTTGAGCATGAGATAAAAGAGAAAGGGTGGTTTTGACGATATGGCGGTGGCGTCTTTCTACATAACCATTATGTTCAGGAGTATGGGGAGGTGATTTGAGATGGGTTATGCCACAAGAAGTAAGGTGGCTTGCAATTTTGATATATTCTCCTCCATTATCAGAGAAAAGTTGTTTGATTTTGGTTTGAAAGAAATTTTCAACTAAGGATTGGAAGCAAATGAAGGTAGTGAGTGAGTCAGATTTATGTTTGAGTGGGTATAACCACGTATATTTTGTGAAGTGGTCTACAAAGATTATATAATACTTGAAATCATCAAAGTAGCTTATAGGAGCAGACCATACATCTGAATAAATAAGCTACAAAGGTTGAGTAGAAATAAGAGAATCACTATGAAAAGGAAGCTTATGACTTTTATTAATGCAACAGGAGTTACAATTGTTTTGCCTACATTTAATAAGAGGATAAATAAATGCTAGGTGATTCAAGAGTTGGAGATGTGGATATCCAAGCCGATGATGCCAGGAGATTGACTTTTGAGTGTGAAGTAGTAGAGGATGGGCAGTGGAACGAAGCTCATAGATTCCACGATTAGTTGTTCCTCTTAGCAAGAGACGGTTGGTTTGTAGATCCTTGATAAAAAAAAATAGAAGGAAAAGAAAGCTATTAGTATCGAATTATCAAGGCATAAGCGAGAAATAGAAATTATATTTCTAGAGATAGATGGAACACAGAGTCCAGTTGCTAGAAAGAAAGGATTATTTGAGAATTTAACAGTAAAAGAGCCAACATGAGTAATAGGAAGGGACAAGCCATCACCAATGACAAGTTCATCAGTACCGTCATAAGGAGCATGCAATGAGAGATTGTTGAGGTCACTGGTTATGTGGTGAGAAGTGCCACTATCGATCATCCATGGAGTGTTGCTGTCTGACTGTGTAGATGTCATTACATTGGCTTAGGCAGCGTAATATGTCGTTTTTGGTAGTGTAGGCAAGTTGATGTGAGGATACTTGTTTTTGAAAGCATAACAGGAGGTGAGAGAGTGGCATTTGGTGAAGCAACATTGACACTCTCTAAGGAAAGGTCGGGTAGCAGTAGTAGGTTTGGGAAGGAGAGGTTGGGAGTTTGGAAGAGATCGATTTTTCCATGGTTTATTTTGTGGGTGTTTTTAGGCTGCAATGGCAGTGGTGCATTAGTGAAGATTAGTGATGGAGGGTGATTGTTGTAGCTAGGTAAGCTCATGGTTAAATAATTGTTCGTGTAGTTCAGTGAAGGAGATAGGGGTATCTGTGACATGGACAACATCAATGATGGTGTTTTAAGTGGTGGAATCAAGGCCATTTAGAACAGCATCAGTAATATCTTCAGCATCCATCTTTTTGCCAAGCACTTGTAATTCATCAACAATGATCTTGACTGACTGCATGTAGTCAGTGATCGATTACTCTGGAGTTTTGACAGACAATTTCATGTAATGTTGTAGTTGTTTGATATGACCACATGATGGGTTAGCATAGGTATTGGATAGAATATTCCAAGGTTCTAGGGAAGATGCAACATTGGAGATAAGGGGAACGATTGAAGGAGAAAGAGAGCCAACAATTGTGCCAAAAAGAAGCCGATCTTAACAAAACCATGCAGGGTAAGTGGCGTGAGGGGTAGAGATACCTGCAACAACAGTAGGTTGAGGAGCAAGGGTACTACCATTAATGAATTTGTAGAGGTCTAGACCATGGAGAAGTGCTTCGATTTGAGTTTTCCAACTCATGTAGTTGGTAGATGTGAGTTTTAAGGAAGGGGGGAAAGTCACCAGTGTGAGATTGGTGGTTGTGAGAGGGAGAGATTGAACGACAAACGAGTTGGACGTAGGTGTGGTGACCATGAGCGATTGGGAAAAGAAAATAACCGCATGAAAAATTTAGGGTTTCCCGCTCTGATACCATATAAGTGGAACAATGGATTAATGATTTGTTATATACATTGATTAGAGAAAACGTATATATATACAAGAGCATATCCTATTTTGGTGGATCTATAACAAACTCAGTGAGGACTTATTCTGAGTGACTTAGTGTAGCTATTATCTACAACAATATATATACAAAGATACAAAGGTATGAATCATGTTTTTATGTTGATAAGGGTAATTCGCCATTTATTAAATGGACCTACAACGTGAAAAAACTCTCATTGTCCTTCGTTACAATGACCATGGCCAGTAACGTAACGCATAAAAACGACAGGCTGGGCATTGTGCTGGCATTACCACGCTGTTTTTCTAGTGTCATGTCACGAAATCGAGAGTGGGTGTTGCCCACACAGTTCAGTCTAACATGTCTCAAATATGAAATATGAATTACAAATGGGCTCAATGGTATGTTGTTTAAAAAAGAACCATGTTCAAAATATTTCATTTGACTGCCTTTTACTTGGACTTTTGATGTAAAATTTGCCAAACCACTATGATTTTGCAAGTTATGGCTTGTTTTCACAACTTCAATTATGTATCATACTTTTGTATCAGGTATATATATGGTTGATGTTAATAGTTCTAGTTCATTTGTATTGAATATGATTAAACATAGTTTTTGATTTTCATAGCATGAAAATAGTGATATATTTTCATTGCTTTTTATCTTATAGCTCAACCTTGACATCCATTTTGCACTTTGATATTAAATTGCAGGGTTTTTCTTACACTTGCATTTCCTTGACAACATCTAGCTTCACATGATATGGAAAATTGGATATGAGAAATGAAATGTAAAGAAGGAAATCTGAAGTAATTGAGTTACAAATGCAACAAAAACAAGCTTAATTCGAACAGCAAATGGAGGCCTATATGAAATTCATCGATCAACCCAATAATCAACCAGAAAATCCTTAGTTTTATGTTTTAAGCACTTAGTAATATTTGACACTTTGAATGTATTAGATGATGTCTATTGTAATGTTAAAACACTTATTAATGTATTTCACACTTTGTGGTTTAATGTTAATTTTTAGAAGAAAAAACTGTAATTTTTTAAAATTTTTTGATAAATTTAGTGACGGAATAATCTGTCGCAAAGATAAATTGCATTCGTTAGTAATCTGCGTCACAAAAAGTGTCCATCGGTAATCCATCACAAAAAGTGTTCGTCGGTAGTCTGTTGGAAATTACCTTCCATTGGTAATCCGTCGGAAATACATTGGTAATCCGTCGCTATATTTTCGACGAAAAATTATGTTGATAATCTGTTATTAAAACTGTCTGAAATCCATCACAAATAATTACCCATGAGACTTTTTACGACAAATCTAATTTTGTCGGTATTATGATGGAAATAAGCTTTAACGACAGATTTATGACGGATATAACAATCGGAAATTGCCCAGTTTTCTGGTACTGTACGAACATTGAGCATATATAGTGCCCATCGATAAGGACACTACCTATAAATATCATGGGTGGCATGGGTGGCATACACCTATAAAATGTATGGATCAACTAAAGCAATAGTACAAATATTAGCGATGTTATAAATGCAAATATACAATGTATATATTACGATGTCATAGCTGCAAATATACAATGTATATATTACAAGATATTAGCGATGTTATGCTGCCTATATACAATGTATATATTACCAGAGTGTCTTACCACACATATCACAGCTACAAAACCTAACTCAAAATAGTCATCCATATCTTTCGTGATTGGTTAACCTACTGAGAATAATCTGACTTGTTGTCTTTCTTAAAAATTAAAAAAAGTAAAAAATAAAATAAGTATGTGACCATGGATTTAAGATTTAAAATCATAAATCGTGAAACATGATTAAATTTATAAATTCAAAATCAAAATACGAGCCAATTTTTTCATAATATTGCTTAGTTATATTTTAGGTGAACGTCATACACTAAAATGTGTATCTATAATTTTTTTTTGTTAATATAAACAACGCACCGAAATCAAGACAATAACATTTGTGGAGCTTTTGATATTTTGCTGATTTGTTTAATCAAGATTTGTGCTCATCTTCAACACGTATTTTGTGAAGCTTGTTCGTTCTATAAATAATCCCAAGTACTCGGCCTCTACTTTCACGCAACTGGTACCGAGTGTTCTCAGCTTACTCATAAGTCAATATGTCAAAACAACCAACTTTTTTGTTTGTGTTTCTTCCTCTTATTTTCGCTCTTGCTATCTCAGGTGCTTAATCTAACTACTTTACGACCATTTTTACTTTCATTTATGCTTCAACCAAAGTTTTTTGGTAATAGAAATTTAATATGCTCCTACAATTTCTTCTTACCATATTTTTCTACCCATGTCAAATAATGACATATCTTTCTACCCATGTCAAATAATGAAAGGTGTTACATTTAATTTTTCTTAATAATATTTTAATCCATTTCACACCATTTAGCATAAATAACAAGATAAGTAAGATTAAATTGTAAGAGGATATTTAATTTCTCAGTAAAAAGCTTGATTTATTTCTGCTTGTTACTTTCAATAGGGAGATTTTAAAGTTATATAAATAAGGGAAGTTACATACATGTGATGACATTCATGGTAGAGAATGGAAATAGCGTACCTTTCAGTTTTCGGGAAATTCTATCCCTTCAAACTTCTCATAAATTACTTTAACAAAAGACTATCACTAACAAATTTCGAAGTGATTCCTACAATACATAACAATTTATATATTATATAATTGTACAATATAATATTTTAATGTATAAATTTTTATGTATGGAAAAAAAATTTGTTGTATACCAATAGTTCCCTTTCGATAATTAGGTTTTCTTGTAGGTTTTCTTGTTTTACCGATTAATTCGTTTATGTGGTCACTAATTAAGATTAATTACTGCATGTAATTCATTATTCTTGCAAACATGCAGACTAGGAAACATTTATATATTAGTGATTTGTCGGGTTTATCCTTATTAAAAGTGAGATTATTTGTTAAGCAACTAACAACACCGTTTAAATAAATCATTTAGTACTACCTTCTACATCACTATTTATTATCTTATTACTCATATATACCTTAGGATTAATTAACTCAATTTTGCATGCATTCAAAAGAAATCGCGACTGCTGTAAAATTTTGTGAACATATGAGCCAAACGTGGACTGGAAAGTGTGATAACAACAAGTGTGATAAAAAATGCATTGAATGGGAGAAAGCAATCCACGGAGCTTGTCACTCGCGTGAAGGGAAATCTGGTTGCTTCTGCTACTTTGACTGTGCCAAGAAACCTCCAAAAGATTCCGTACCGGCTCCTCCCGGATCCATACCTCCTGCTGCCGGTGGCGGCGGCGGCGGATCATCACCTCCTGCTGCCGGTGGTGGTGGTGGTGGCGGATCATCACCTCCTGCTGCCGGTGGTGGTGGTGGTGGTGGTGGCGGATCATCACCTCCTGCTGCCGGTGGTGGTGGCGGATCATCACCTCCTGCTGCCGGTGGCGGTGCTGGCGGATCGTCACCTCCTGCTGTCGGTGGCGGTGGCGGATCATCACCTCCAGCTGGCGGCGGGTCGTCATCTCCTCCCAAAGGCGATAAGCCATGTCAGCATATCGAAGATTAGTTCACTTGCATGCAGGAACTGCGGGGACAAAAATCCAAACCGAAAAAGAGCTACATCCTTTAATAGCAAGATTTCTATGAGTACTAATAAATAGGAAATACTTCCTAAGCATTACGTGAAGTGTAATAATGCTTGTTGTACTATACAAAGTCTCAATGTAACACATTTATAAAATTTTAACTAATCATTATGATTTTTATCTAATTTTATAATTTTTTTCTCCCTAATTTGTTAAACTATACAAAGTCTCAATGTAACACATTTATAAAATTCATATATATGATATTATAATATTCTATTTCCATTGAAAATATAGGAACACGGATTCATATGCGAAATCAATCTCCGCGAAATCAATCTCAGATAAATAAAGAATCAATGAAATGTTTATGTATTCATATAATTATCATCAGATCTGATTACAATGGAGAAACCTTATATGAAAAATATAATTTTTTTTATTTGTTATTAATGAGAAAAACGAAAATAAAAATAAAAATGAGACTCATATTAAAAGAAAAACAACCTAAAGTATGTATAGTTTTAGGATTTAAAATCTGAAAACCCTAAAACTAATAGTTTAAAAACAAAAATTCATGTCAATTGTTTTAATATCCAAAAATTCACCCTTAATGTTTAGACTTATAAATAAAAATAAGGGAAAATGACATATATGCCCTATTATGTTTCTAGGGTTTACCTATTTAGTCATTTAACTTATTTTGTGGCTTTATAAGAGAACGAATTACACTTTGACGGGTCGATTAGGTCCTTTTGAGCAAAATGAAGGGGTCATCCGGTTACCCATTTGCCACATCATATGTTTGTTGACCAATTATTCCTTAACCCAGTACTATTCATCTTCTTCGCCCCACTTTTTCCCATTTCTAAATTTTCCAATAGAGAGCCTTCTTACTACTGTTCTAATGTCGATCGACAACTTCACGTCTCCTATGCTACCGTTCTCATGCGAATTGAGAACGCCAATAACCTAGAACACGAGTTTGGTATAATTTCATCTTTTATCGACGATTACCCTTTTGTTTCGTTAGATACAGAGTTTGTCGGCATCATTTTACGTCCAACAGCTGATAACAATGGTGTCGTCTTCCGTCACGTGTTTCTGTGTGTGGGAGGAGAATCCAATTGACTTGTAAGTTGTATCTCATGCATTAGAAGCTTGTACCCCCTGCATTTCTTTGACTTGGTGGTAGTGGGGTTATCTTGATTCAACCCACCACTGTTGTTCAATGGTTTTTTTTAATGTAAAACTAGTCTTCTTCAACTTTGTTGCAGTCGTAACCCACCTTCCAAAACACTAATTTATTATTCCTCATGATTCAAATATATGTGTTCATTATCACTCAAACATTACCAATTTGAAAGATTTTGATTTGAGAAGGTGTGTGATAGAGGCACGATGTAGAAACTTGGATTCATGGGTGGAACCTATAAATGTTGGAGAACGGATGATGATGAAGCTACCAACAAAACGACACTGTAACACAATATCCAAACAAAAAATTCAAAACCGAAACCCTACCTTTTAACCAATCAAAACCCAAAATCGAGACAGTAAATATATTGAAACCAAAGCCTTATTCCAAAATCAAAACCATCGGATCGAGCAAACCACTCTGTTTCGTCTTTGGTCTCCGGTTGTTGGACGAATCAGGTTAAAAGTATGTGATGCCATTAGTGGGACGTACGACAACGTCTAAAACTCTCCCACATTCACCTTCATGATATGCCCTCCTTTCTTTCAAATTGCGTCCACATTCACCTTTCGGAAAAGTCGTCAATTTTGAGAAGAATTGTGATTACAGGATAGATTCGGCTGCCCAGGAAGTATTAAGAGGAGGTTTATGGTGTATTTGTATATAATAAGAACAAAATGGAAATCAATTTTGAGAAAGTCAAAATGTGATTTTGACTTTTAAATGGAAAATAGACGACGTGTCCCTGAAACCGGCTACAATAGGTTTGAAACCGGCTACAATAGGTTAGAAGGACTAAATTGACAGGTTGCTTCTAACCTTATGCCCCTATAAAGACACCAAATTAGTTTAGGGACTTAAAAGGTCAACCTTAAAAAGTTTGCTGGGCATTTATGTTATTTTCCCTAAAAATAAAAATAAAAATTTTGAAGATTTTAAACACCGGTCCCAAGACATTTGCACTTGGTCTTCAAAAAAATCTGTTTGAGGAGAACTTTCAGTGTGAAGTTAATAACCACCCGTCAAGTAAAACGAGAAACCATTGCATAAGAAGAAGATCTTCGGTGTAAAAAAATGAACAACCATATTATCTAGAAAAATGAAGTCATTGGAGCCCATAGTTGTGATAAAGAAAAAACTTCGATATCAACAATAGCGTAAAACTTTATCCGTTGGGTAAAAAGAAATCAGGTCCATACCACATCTAATCGTTGCAAGATTGGGACCCAAACCAACGGATTATACCAATATTACAGTAGCATGTCAACCCTTGTACTTTCTTCGATTAAAATAATTCTACTTTGTTATTGAGAGATAAGTCAAAGTACAAACAAATGGATCCATTTGATTTCTATTTGCCGTATAGCTTTCTTTTCGGTAACCTCAAAATAAATTAATATAAGCTACGAATTCTTTGCGAAGATAAAGTGCCCATGCTTTGTTCTATTTTAACCTCACACTTTATTCCTGATAATTGATGACAATAGTGATATCCATGCTCCAATATTTAATTATTTTCACTTTTTTTTTGCACATTTAAAATTCTTTGTAAACAAAAATATCAAGAAAATAGACCATCCCATGAATATTGTTTCACCTTCTTTCTTAATTCTCTTGAAGTCACGGTAATTACTAGCTCTTTTTCCCTTTTTAAATACTAAAACCCACTAATTTGAGGCTATTGGGACTGTTTTCACGAATATAAAGATAAATCACCCGTGTCACTTCTCATTCATACGTATTAACGATTTTTCATTGAAATTTTTTTAATTAGTCTCCTAAATTGTTGGCTCAAATTAAAAAGTGTACCTTTCATGAGAGTGCAAAAATATGTATCATTGTAGCTTTTAGGAACCCAACATTGCTTGAAAGTTGAAGAGTTGGTTGTGGAAAACTTTGAAACCCTCATATTCTCACCAAAGTGATTACTCCACACAATGTCTTCATTATAGATAATTTGATTCATTGTAGTCTTGCAACTTTTGTTCACTGACCTAAGAACCTTCATTAATTCCTACAACCAAAACTGAGGTGGTTTAAGACTTTTGTTTTTCATATGTTTTCTTTCAGTCATTTTTTCATTGGTCATTCTTTTGATCTCTGTGTTTGATTCACCTTTAGGTTCAACAACCATCTTCGTTGTGCAAATCCACAACAACCATTCGATCGTTATGCAAATCTATGTTGACGATATCATATTTGGTTCAACCGGAAAGGATCTTAGAGATGAGTTTGTTGAGTTGATGAAAAACAAATTTAGAATGAGTATGATGCATGAGCTCAATTACTTCCTATGTATATAAGTCCGTCAATCTCCCATGGGAATCTTCATTAGTCAAGAGAAGTATATAAAAAACCTATTGAAAAGATATTCCATGGAGAACGCATGAACTGCAAAGACACCAATGTCTACATCCTACAAGTTTGATTCAAACATTGATGGGAAATTTGTAAATCAGAAGCAATATAAAAGAAGGATTGACTCATTACTGTACCTTACAGCTAGTCAACCAGACATCATGTTTTCTGCATGTCTTTGTGCACGCTTTCAAGCCAATCCAAAGAAGTCACACCTTATTGTAGTCAAAAGAATTTTCAAATATATGAAAGGAACTGCTTCTCTAGGTCTATTCTATCCTACTAAAGGCGACTTCTATCTCCAAGTCTTTACTGACTTAGATTATGGATGTTGCAAGCTCGACAAAAAGACCACTTCTGGTAGTTGTCAATTCTTAGGAGGCATATTGGTTAGCTGAACTTCAAAGAAAAAAATCCACTACTAGAAAACAACCCTTTAATGACATGCGAACAATGTCACACACTGACTTAGGATACACATTGTTTGTGTGTACTAAAAATAATGTCACACACTGTATAAGGTCATCTGGTCGCGAGTGGTTTGAGAGTACGCAGGGCGTACTACCTTCAGACAAAAACCCAAAATTTTAGAGTTTAGCACAATATAAAGAACATTACGTCCTTAAGACCAACCTCACTCTCACCCTAAAGCAACTTCCGCGAATCCCCAATCCATATTTGGTGTGTTCTTGTGCTTGGAAGTCCTTGGAGAGCATTCTTAGTGTTTTGATCCAGTCTCCAAGGAAGTAAAAGAAGTTGTAGGTATGGGATTGTTGCTTCATTGCAGAGCTTTTCAAGGTATAAAGTCTTGAACTTGATCCATAATTTATTAGATCTATTACGTTAAGTTTTGGACCTTTTTGGTCCCAAGGATGAAGCTTTATGGTTCAAATCTGTTTCCTATGCTTAGGGTTGCCACCCTTGGTGCTATTTGAGTCCCTAAGATAGAAAGTTGCAATCCTGAAGATCTTGATGTGTCCATGCAAGAGTTAAGGCCATTTTCATGGAAATAGGATGCCATTTTCATGTAAGTAGGATGCCATTTTTAGAGTTTGTGCTTACTTGGGGCATGCAAACTCACCAAGTCAGTGACTTTATGGATTCAGACGTTAAGTAGAGCTCAGATCTATGATTTGGACCATTCGTTTGAAGCATTAAGTGCTTAATAGCAAAAGGAGTTAATAGGGGAGTACGTTGGACATAAAAAAAACTATTACACATAACATACAAGTCACGAACCCAGTACGTGCTGCATACATCTAAGTACACCATGCATACTCAGTCAGAGTGGGCTTTGCTCATATGGGCCTCAGTTTGGGCTATTCATTGAACTTTGCTACTTTGGGACTTTGTGGGCTATCAAAAATCAGATATTTTTATCTAAAGAATATGTTGGACTAAAAGGGAAGGCCTATTTGAGGAGTTGGGCCCAATTTGGAAAATTGGGCTATTAGTGGGATTTTATGGATTTTGAAGTTTTGGGTTTGATGGCTTTTGGGCTTGGGCCTTAGTTATGTATCTTTTAGGACTAGGGGTAAAATGATCATTTTACCCCCAAGTATGGATTATTGATCATGGTTTGGCACCCAAATTCTAATTGGGTGATATTTATGTTTTAATAGCTCGAGGAGTTGTCAGGACAGCAAGTAAGGATTTCTTGCAGTGGAATTTAACAATGTGAAG